CCAGATACGGGATGCAGGATGTCATGCTCTGGCTGCTGATGTAATCCCTCAAACGTTTGTAGTTGTCCTCTTTAGACATCAGATACTCCAACCGCTCAAACGTGGCCTTGTCCTTCCGACTTAAAAGCTGTAGGAAACAGAGCGAGAAAGAGAGAGGATATTAGTACCAGAAACTATTAGTGAATCCTCCATGTTTATAACAACAGTGTTTTTACACAATGTTCTCAGATAACCAGCTCAATCGATGAAATGAAATTTAAATAAAAAGCATCTTCCATGTAAATTTAAGTGGAAAATTAGCTTTAAGAGTAAAACATCACATGATTAAGCTAATAATACAACAGTTCTGTCTGGTTCTCCAATCTGAATAGCTGATAGCGGTGCGATTTTCTGCAATATCAGAGCTCGTACAGCCTCTTCACCCTTGTGTATTACTCTGCCCACATAGAGGGACAGCAGATCAATAAATTTACTAGTTTGACAAACATTGCAGCTGTTGGACAACATATTGTACTTTTAAGGTTTTTTATACGAGAGCTGTTTAGATTGCAACTATGCAGTTTATTTAGAAGTATAGTGCCAATTTTAAATGTTCATAATTTTGGCGATTCAGTATGCCGGCGGCCATCAGCCTGTCATATTGAGCAGAGCAAAGATGGTTGATGTTCCGCCACAAGATGACAACAGAGACTGCATAGTTTGTCTTTAGGGGGAAAAAAACAGTATTTTCTCTGTGTAAGTTTTAAACTACAGCCAAACAAATCATTACAGAACAGGTTAGCATCATTTTAAGTTGATCTCTCTCTTTTGTATGTCGTAGTGCTGTATTTATTTTATAGTGATCTGGTAGTGTTTGCTTTGCTTTGCTTTGGCTTTTTCGGGGTTAATTATTGTGATTTCCCGATTGCGACAGAGAAATACTGGGAAATCTCTGAAGACTGATGGTATTTCATGCCGTTCAGCCTGATAAACTTAAAATGTGAGCAAAATCACCCGTTTTGTCATAATTTTAGACTTTTTAGTTATTTGGTGGCAGGGCCTTTAGTTGTACAGCACCAAATTTATTTAATTCCTTGCCTTTAAGTGGACTATTTTCAATTTTAAATCTCAGATGAAAACATTTTGTTTTTGTTTAGGATGATTTGCTGGTTTAAAATTATGTTGACTGTTATTTTTACTGCATGTATATTTATGATTTGCTTGGAATCTGTCTCAAGGTGTCCATGAGTGCTTTGAAATGCACCTAAAAAAAAAAAAAAAAAAAGGTATTATTATTATTATTATTAATATTATGCTATAGAATCATTTGAACACTAGCTCTAAAGTGACTATGGTAAAGTAGTAATGATTTCTGCTGTTCTGATGTCCTTTGCAGATGTTAATGAATGGCAGAAGTAGTTCCTCATAAAAAAGGATTTTTTAAACTCTTGATATTTGATTTTCTTCTTTATATACATGATTCGATTTGTGGTCGAACTGTTGTATAACGCAATATCACACTCGCTGCAGTGCGATATGGCTGTATATCGTCACTAGTGGGACATTAAGGCACTTGGCCTGTGGATTCAAGCCAATGCACGCCTCTCACAAGTACTGACATACAGCGATGTCGCACTGCTACTTGTTTTTCTTTGCAAGGAGTTGTTAGCATTGCTGGTGTTTGGAGTTTATAAACTACGGTAATTAGCAGAAAGTAGGCATTAGAAGATTTCCCAATTACATTTTTCAGGTCTTTTTTCTTTCTTTATTTTCCTAACATTCCGTGATTTTAATGCTTTAGTTTTAGATTGTAATGTTTTAATGTAATGTTTAGAGGGTAAAGCTTTCATAAACTAAATTGTAAACATACATGTCTTTACCAACAGCCGGAGAGAGTCAGGAGTAATAATGAACGAATTCCTATTAGTCAGTGTTGGAGGAACTGAGCTTAGCCTGATAATTAAACCATTTTTTTCCATTGCATTGTATTGCGTTTCATCAAATTAAATCAAAATCGTATTGTACTGCATCGTGATGGGGTGAATTATAGTATTGTATTAATTGTATTTTATCATATTGTATCATTTCATGTATCGTATATCATATCATACTGTATCATTGTCTATTCATCAAGAATCATTTTATATTTTACCACAATAAAGCAATTTACACTGCGTATTTGAAAGGTGCGCGTTTAAAACAGTGACTATGTATTTCCAGCCTGGTCCCACGAGAAAAGTATTTTACGTTTTGCCAGTTTAGTGGCTAATTCGTAAGAATTTGTACGAGTTCAGTCGTATGAAATTGTACAATTTTAAAAAGGAGGCGTGGCACCTAACCCCACCCCTAAACGCAAGCGTCATTGGGGGATGAGCAAATCGTACTGAATTGTACAAATTAGATTGTACAAATTCATACGGGTTAGCCACTAAATCAAAAAGTTACGAATTGCCGTGAGATTGTGTTGGTATTTCAGCTATTGTCTCCCCCTTGTGTCTTTTAATGGAATTGCAGCAATTCTGGTTGCTTCAGCAGGTTAAATAACAACAATTAGACAGTTATTGAATAATTACAACAGGCACTTACTTCAAAAGAAATAACAGCATAAATCTGGCCTTATTACTGTCATCTGTCAACACAGTGATTGCGGCACACAACATTCAGACAGATGGACATTACAATTCTTTTTTTATACACAAGTCAGAGTCCAAATCGAAAAATCAAGTCTCTAATAACAAATCTCAAGACAGGCAGTTTTTAGTGCTTGCCGTCATCTCTATTCACAGTTAACATGATTTTTTTGGTTTGTTTTCCATTGAAAGCTAATGTTTCGTGTTTAGTGGCAAGAAACAAAAGTGGTGGAAACAATGACAGAACAGAGAGATAAGATTAAATAAGAGCCCTGCAAACAAAGGAAAAACTGATATCACTGAAATAAAATCCAGAGAACTGCAGAGGAGATTCAAACAAACCTAACCATATTAAGAGCTACCTGGTGTGACCTCTTACAAAACACACTAACAATCCACGCTTTAGTGGACACACTGCCAGACCCCAGACTGAAAAACTGCATTCAAAATGTAATTTAATCTTGCATATTCAAACCAAGAGAAACATGTAGGCATTATGGTTAGGGTCATAAATCACAATGAAACAATGACTTGCAAACATAAAATTTTGACAAATATAATCACGGTGTTTAACATTTATACTAAAATAATTAAAATATCTTTACCAGTTATTGAGTATGACATATTTGTTCCAAATTTGGACTGAAACAACCCAGAATTACTTTAATTAATATAAAGTGTATGCAAGTTTCCATACAGAGTTTTGTTGTCATATTAATAAATAGTGGAAGTAGTTTTTATTTCACTTTAAATTAAATTAATTGTCTTTACATCTCACAGTTTAAAGACAAAGACAAAGTCAAAGACAAAAAGTGAGATATAACTTAAAATTATAAATGAAAAACCTTTTTTCTGATACAGATAAGTCACAATTTTTAATACATTTCTTGAAATTTGTAGTTTATATTCTAGAACTGTGAGAAATAAACTGAAGTGAGATGCTAACCTGCTACTTAAAACTCTAAAAAAAAAAAAAAAAAAAAAACTAACCTCACTTTTTGGGGGAAAAATCTTTAAACTTTAATGGGGCATTAACACTAGATGTCACTTGCGCACCTAAATCACGCTATTAGCACGTAAAGACACATCAACATTTTAAGTTTACTCTATTAATTTTCATGTCAAATTCTTTTCAATCGTGCATCAAAATCACTTCACAATAGAATTGTATTCACATCATGGGTGGGGCATCTGTCTGCCAGGTGACTCTAGTTTCATTGCTAAATGGTTAACATGAGTTTTATTGAGAGAGTAGATGTACTTTATGTGCTTTAGGAAGGCTGAAAACAGCATTGATTTATTTGGCGCAGTGTCTGAGGCCCCCTTTACACTAATGCGTCTTCGTTTTAAAACGCATACGTTTTGTTATGGTTATGCCATCCGTCCACACTACGCCATAGTTTTCGAGCGCCGAAAATGGAGCGTTTTGAAAACACTGGAGAGGCCATTTTCATTCTAAAATGCTGCTGCTCTGTCTCAGTGTGGATTGGGGATCATCTGAAAACAGATGCGGGGCAGCAGACATTCGCCTCTCTGATTGGGGCTCTTTCCTTAATATTAAGTAGCTTACATACACAGTTCAGTCCTGCATCCTCTGCTTGTAAGTTCAGACTTCGCAAGTTTGATTTGAAAAACAGACTACCGAAGACATGTTGGTAAATCTTCGAAAGGGAACAGTGCACTTTATAACCTTACTAACATCATCCTGGATACATACGTTGTTTCACTTTCTTAACAATAAAAAGAAAACATGATATAAGAAACTGCTATTTTTTATTTGGATATTAGCAACTTAACAGACAACAGAAATACTAAGGCGTTGTGCTGCATATATGAGCGTTATCATCACTGTATTCGTATTTATAACAAAATGGTGCCTATAACATTACTGCCTTCTTTCATTTTCAGTAAAAATATGAAACATACCCTCTCGTTTAGCTGAATATCAATTTTAATAATCAATAATGGCCATTATAAAAGTATAACGTACAATAATGTTATACATTAGAGAAAGTAAAGGCAAGCAATCAGTCAATATACAGAATGTTTGTGTTTATATTATTATTAACTTATCTCTGCGCTCAGCCAAAACAAGTTACCTGAAAACAAGAAATAGATTCAAAAGACTAAAGTCGAGGAATGTGTCGTTGGATATAGACAACAAGATGAATAAATATCACGTTTAACAAATATAGTGAGCTTGGATTCAGCAGTCCCAAAAGCACAGCTTTTATCTGGCTAGATATGCTGCAGCGCATGCCAGAGTGTGTGTGTGGTCACGTGATGTGCATTTCCAGCAGTGTAATGTGGACGGAGAGCTGTTCAGAAATCCTGGGTTAAACACCAGTGTGGACGCAGATCGTTTTCATTCTAAAACGCCGTTTTAAAACTAAAACGTACTAGTGTAAATGGACTCTGAGTCCACAAGATCCTTTCAGAGGTGCACCCAGCACTGAGAGTTCATCAACTCCTCTAGAAACTACACTTGGAGGACAGAGGCTTTCAGCGGTGCTTCAGA